GAAATCTTCAAGTGGCTGAAACACTCGGAGATGTTCTTCTCGGCAGAGGGCAGCAAAGAACTGTTCGAATGTACCAGCTGCTCTATCTTGATCTGCTTGATTGCGTTCAAGCGTGGAGGATGCATCCTCTTGTTGATGTCTGCACTAAGAAGAGTGCGTGCTCCACTCGAGATCATCTGGAACATGACCGTTGTGCCGAAATACTTTGGGTTGCCCGTTTTCATTTCGACTGCACAGCCACATTCATCAACTGCATCGACATCGGCCGAGAAAAGGACGGTGAAACCAGCAACGCGCATGATGTGAAGGCTTTCGGTCTTCATCAAATCATGTTTGTCGCTGATTCCTCGTCCTGTCATGAGCCTCTCAAACTGGAATCCGATGTCGGCGTAGTTCTGCACGTACTGCTTGTGCTTGCACAACAGGATAACGTCGGTGCCAGAGCAGCGTTGGGTCAAGTACTTGGTACCGGCCTCGACGGGTGCCCTGTGCGCCAGGATTTCCAGCGATGAGCCACCCACTTAAGGAAGTCAATGCCCTCCAAGGATCCACGTCGCTGCGAGGCTAGGTAGAGCGGCACCATGTACCCCGCATCATAGGGAAAGACATTGGGCACATTTTGAGGAACCGGTGCGCCATCCAGATTGCGAGGCACGGAGATGCCGCGGATGTTCACCAAAACAGATGGTTCTCTGTCTTCGTCGCAGACACCCTGCAGAACATCAGCGGCCGTAACCTCACTGAAGCGGCGCTTTTGCGTGAGACCTGCCGGACTCCACGTGTACATTCCCAGGTCCTGTATCTCCTCGATCCATCTCAGGCCACTTCTGAACGTCGCCTGCGAGCGGCGATCTTGGTATCCTGCCATGTTGCCACTGTCGCTGGAGCTAAGTAGTGACATTACATATGATGCTGTACCCCTTTCTCGAGCTGTGTAGCAGCAGGATGCACTTCTGAACGCATCTTGTGAGCCATGCTCGGGAACTGCCACGATATGAGATTTCATAAAAACAACATATATACTATAGATTACACATACACATCATTATAAATATGCATAGCGGTACGTACGGATATACATACACACAACATACATACATACTTACATACATACACATACACGTACACGTACACGTACACGTACACATATATATATATATATATATATATATGTATATGTATATATATATATATATATATATGTATATATATATATATATATATACATACATACATGATATCTGTACACACATATATATATATATATATACCTATCTTACGCATTGATCTCAGAATCGGACTATGGCGTCGCAGAGCATCGGCCGGTAGTCGCCACCCCAGGCATGAACCTCAGAGCACAGACGAACCTGTCTACCGGAAACCAACAAGTAGTAGCAGAAGAAGGAGTAGTAGTAGTAGTAGTAGTAGTAGTAGTAGTAGTAGTAGTAGTAGTAGTAGTAGTAGTAGTAACAGTAGGAGGAGGAGTAGTCAAGGCTCGCAAAGAGCAGCATGCCGACCCTCAACTGCCAATCGACGCACGAACGCGCCTGTCGACAAGCAGATATGCACACTTACATGTGAGATCGTGAGTGCGATGATTACTCTATTTGGGATTCTCTACTTTTCGACCGTCCTCCTCTGCATATATGCATAGACGAGTGTATGCTCCAAAAAGACCAAGACCAAGGCAACACCCACGTTCCTCCGACAATGTCTGCGAGAGATTTTCGAGAGCTGATCTTGCAGGTTCAGTGTGCTAAGGCATCAACCCGAAGCGCCACCTTTTTGGATTCGGGGCTTGGTGGTTAGGTTTGCGTGCAAGGTTTAATCGCGGAGTTTTTAAGGGCTACTGTCAGGGTTTACGGGCCAGCATCTGGCTTGTCTGGGGTTCCCAGCTCCGTGCATGCAGTCACACATATGGTGGTATATGCATGTATATGCGCCTGGGTCCTATAGAAACTGCGTGAGTGCATTCTGGCCGGCATCGTGCAAATACATATAAGCATGCGAGCATGCCTGCATACATACGTACATACATACATACGTACATACATTCATACATGCGTACAGACAGGCATGCCTACATACTACATGCTGCTACATATAAACGTGCATACATACATACATACATACATACATACACACATACATGCATGCGTACATGCAGACACTTGTGCGCACGTGTGTACATGCATGTTTACAAGGACAAGTAGTTCTGGTCATATGGTCATACATATGTTGTTCAGCGTGTGTGTATGTGTGTGCGCATGTGCGTGTGTGTGTGTGTGTGTCTTTGTGTGCATCTTGTTTGTATAGCTGTACAAACGGGTATGAGCGCACAGGTCTCGAATTCTGTTCACTGAACTTCTGAAGGCAACTAAGACAGCTCTGTGCTGTGAGACTTGAGACCTTGCTTGGCACCATTTTGCCAGAAGATGGGGACGTCAAACATCCAGAATAGGGCGAATGGAGTCTGTGTTTGGGGGTACATTATCCAATAGTCGTATGTGAGAAGCCTTAAGGAAGACTACTACTGTTGCCAATGTTACTGTATTCACTTGCACACCTGCTGGTCGAAGCTAAGTAACGTTTGATCGCGTCACTTAGCCTGCTCTGAAACCACGGCGTGCATCACTGACCTCTGATATGTGTGTAGAGTCTAGAGTCTAGAGTGTGCTTCGAAAACCTTTCAACAAAGATGAGGCGCTAGGCCCCCAAGCCAGGATTCCACAAAACAGGTCCCAAATTGCACATGCAGACCCCACTGCAAGAGCCCCACCAGGAAAACGAAAACGACAACCGCAACCACGACGTTCTGCTTATTGTAACACGCTTTGCCCAGAACTTGCCTCTGAGATGTCCCCAGCTCGGTCTGGAAGCACCTCCCGGGATTTGTGGCTTCACGGGTTTGAAAGGTTTAGGGGGCTTCGGGCATGATTAGACAGACGAGGACTGCGGTAGCCCAGATGTCAAGAACTGGCACCATGCGCACAGAAGACGCGCAAAAGGTCGATTTCCATGTTTATCGTAGTCTTGGTTTGGCAAATCCCGGACAAACCCTCTAAAATACCCTATCGTAACCCTTGTAGAACTCTTCAAAAAGCAGTGCTGAACCCCATCCCAGTGAATCCGCCGCACCGAGCCCTGAAAAAGAGACTCCGTCCTGAAGCAGCTCGAGGAGGAGTGGCACGTGCTCGAGTTTCAGTGCCTAGCCATCTTTGTAGTCAGGGTTGTATAGGGTTCAGGCTTTTGTATAAAGTTTCTTATGCATAACACTTAGAGGCACGATTGGGTTTGGAGATCGTTGTAACGAGTGACTACACGGCAGAGGGCTTAGGGCTCAGGGATCTAAGGGGCAGGGTTTTGAAGGAGTGCGATACTGGTATAAGCCCCACATCACAGGAAGAGCGGTAGATTCTGGCTCCATGCCGAAAGAACTAACAACAAACGTTTGGCCATCACCCATACCCATCAGTTCTACATGGTAATGAGTTGCAGCACTCGCAGTTGCGGTAGGTCAGGTCGTCGTAGCAGGCAGCAACTAGCCGTAGCGGTGGCAGCGGCAGTGGAGCAGCAGCAGTATGTAGCTGGTGCAGCCGGAGCTGGAGGAGCAGGAGCAGGAGCAGCTGTGTGCAGTAGTCGCTGCGGCAGTTGCAGTTGATACTGTAGCAATTATTGTTCTTCTTCTTGTGGTGGTGGTGGTGTGGTAGTTTTTCATTTAGGGTTTCATGGGACCGTGATTTTGTTGGTACAGTATCTTGAAGGAGGACCTTCAACTAGCCTCCCTCCCCCAAAGCCTCAATCCTCGATCCTACTTCCAGGCACTCAAGAGGTCCGCGGGTCAAGAGCCCTGGATCTGCGCATGGCACCGACGGGCCAAGCTCCGAGAGAAGGGTGATGGCATTGCTGGCCACGACGAACTCAACCTCGCACTTCCCTCCCGGAAGACCCAAGTCCAAGACCCAAGAACCTACCTCGTGGACAAAAGGTTCCCCAAATCGAAAAGTGAAGATCCTGCAACTCCATGCTTACTTGTAAAAGATATAAGTAGTAAGTAGAACATCTACCAAGAAGGACTCTTAATGCCCAAACCTTCTACCAAACTCGAGTAGCTTCTCAAGAAGCATCGCCACATGAGAGGCCTCTCTGATCCTAGAAAGCGCACTAGATCGCTAGTTCAGTCTGGCATTTTTACGGATTCCTCGAACAGGCCTGCAACAATCCAATACCCGAGTTGCGGTGTCCGCAGGGGCTGGATTCAGGCTTGCTTCAGCGAGTACGCTACTGCCCCTACCACTACTACCGCCCAAATAACAACTGCAGTTACTGCTTCCATCTCTCAAACACACTTTGATGCACGCACACAGACACACACACACACACACACACACATACACTTCCCCGGCCTCAACAGAAACTCGCAAACCAATGAGTTTTGTCGATTCATAATGACGGTGCCTGCTGCTGTGCCAGGAGCACCAGCTCGGGATATGCCTGCTCAGGGTTCAGGGGTCCGAGGAGCTTAAGCTTAGGACGGCGGTGGACACGGATTATCGGAGATGTGATCGGAAACGGCAACACGCCGCCACGATGACGTGCTGCCTCTGTCTAGCTTACCGATACTTATGGCCCGGGCGCACTGCTAAATCCTTGTACGTCTATATGGTTCGTAAGTGCCAACGCACTACAGTAGCTGAAAGCAGTTGCGGCATGTCCAGCAATCCTAGTACGACCAAAAATTGCCACAGAAGTTCGCAGAGTCGCAATGAATGTGGCACCAGAACCGTACCACGGGTAATCCCAAGCACCTCTCTCGCTTGCTCCACGCCGGCAAGCTCAACCTGCAGCTGCCGCCAATTTTGCCCTACTTAGTAACTATAGGGTTATAAATAAGGTAGCTATGCTTAATTATTGGTTATATATATCCCCAGTTAAGGTACTAGAACTAGTCCTCTGCTCGAGGCTTTCCAATAAGGCCCGGCATTTCGCGTCCGTGCCATGGCGTCTCAGGCACCGGCGAAGGTCTTCCAACCAAGATCCGGATCGCCCGCGGCATCTGACAGAACAACCAGCAAACGAAGCAAATAACAGCCGTCCAACAATCTGTGTGCCTGTGAATGTCATCTTCGAGATCTGCAACAGCCTTGGTCTGAGTCTGGTCAGCTAAAAATAACAAGCTTTAGAACTTTAGTCGTCGGCAGCACGCAGCAGCTTCGCGTTGTTCTCGGGGCAATAATGGAGGGGAGCGGTCAACACCCCAGATGACAATGTTGCCCACGTTCCACACCAGCATCATCTTCCTAGCAGTCACTACCAGTAGCATTGATGCCACGAGCGGCCATTGTCCCCACAAAGCACGCCGCCATTGCCAGGGTCATCATCACCTTCATCTTAACCATCAGCGTTGCCGGCAGCATCATCGACGGCAGCATCGTCAAGAACAGCAGAATCATCATCCGCAGCAGCACAAGCATCAGTATTTCGATAGCTGATCCTCCTTCGTTCAGATCATCGGTTGCAGCCGAACAGCATCTGGACAGCGCGAAGGCAGACGGCCCGGAGTGCAAAGAAGGCCTGCAATTCAACAGCTGTTTGCGGTGTACGGTTTAGGGTGCATGTCTGGTTCTTGGTGCCTAACCGTCCCTCCGCATCCTCAAAACCTCAAGTAGGCCCATCTCTGAATGCAGGCGCCGATGTAAGGACACATTAAGAAAGCGTCGTTTTTTAGGTGCCATCTGCTCATGCGAGGGCCGATGAAAGAAGTGAGAGCAGCCGCCATCGCCATAAGAGTCGGGTTCTGAGGAATGGGAGCGGGCGTCATCTCCTACGTACCAAGGCGCCGATGAGGCATCTGGTTTCCGAGAATTCTACGGGATCGTGTTCTCAAACATCGCGTGCAGTCTGAGCCTTTGAGCCTTCCGGGAAGCCTGCACCACCAGCGCAGGACAGGTTTTACTTCGTGGACAGCGGTGGGTGTGTCGCAGCTGCTGGCTGGTATTTGGCAACAAAAAGTGTCAGTACGGTTTAGTCAGGACGTGGCCTGCATGACCACTAGAGTTCAGGATTGGGGCTGTAGGGCCACCGAGTCCCAGGTCATGTTATCTTGTTTGTTCCTAACATGAGCCGTTTTGTCAAGTCTAGTCTAGGTCTATAGGGCTTCTGCGACTCGGAGTGGCTCGCACTTCCCGCCTTGTACTTGGGCTGGCAGATCAATCTCACCAAGGTGGCGAAACTCGGGCGAGAGATCGTCAAGCGGGACTGGGGAAATCTGAAGCAGCTGAAGGCTTCTGAGGGAAACCCCTCTGGCTAAAATGTACGAACCCTCCATGAAACGAGGACGACACCATGGGTTGCTGGGCTGACACAACTCCAGCAGCCAGCGCCGCTCCTGGCGGGATTCTCTGAAATTTAGGGGAGGGTACTTTTGAGAAAGCACATCATGTGCATGCGCACCTGTACACAAGTGCACACAGCTTCCGATGATGTGCACCAATGTGTGTGTATATATATATATGTACCCATGTAAAGGTCAGTGATTGTGTATATATATATACACACACACGTACATATGCATGTACATACACATACACGTATGCTCGTGAATGGTCTTGTGCTTTGCAGTGATATGTGTAGACACATATACGTACATACATACATACATACATACATACATACATACATGCGCACATAGGTTCAACCATGCATGCATGCACACATACGCAGGTACACAGCATGTATGTATGGATGCATACGCATGCGAGTAGGATGCAAAGGACCCGGCAAGGCGGCAATGGCCTCGTCGGAGTTGTGCTCGCATGCTTTCTCCACGCTCCGGATGATCTGTTGCCTCAGCGACCAAGCCCCGGCAAGTGAAAGCGCAAGGAAACCGGGCCTAAGGCCCGGGTAGGCCGGCAAAAGGATGGAGGGCGGAGATGCAACTCTGCAACTGTTCTCCGTGATCTGGGTCTAAACGCCATGCAAATGATTCTAACGACTAAAAGCGTACATACATGCGGGAGCAATGTGAGCGCGAGCTTCAAGCAACATCTAAACCTCTGCCTCTGGTTCGTGGGCCTCATCTAAGTGAAAACCAAGTAACACCTCCAGCGACAACTTGTTGACAGGGGCACGAAGATGTAAGCACCATGCACTTGCTCCGTTTTCAGCTGCGCCTTCTCCTTGAATTGTTGGGTAGCGGGTCTTTGACGGCATCTGTGTGAGGTCAAAGTAAGTTTCAGAAGACTTTCAGAAGCACGTTCTCTGCATCAGGCCTCCAGGACAGGATCCGGGATGACAGCCATCAGCTGTGAGGCATTACAGAGCTTTAGCCTCTAACATGTCTTCGCCTGGATACACGGGTGCTTAAAGGGCTAAGGGAGTTGAGACATACTTCACTGCCCTGTTTCGACACAGGCTATAGCCCAGGTCGGATGCATGTGCTCGAATGCACCTCTGTCTGTGTGACATCATGTCTTCTCGCAGTTTCAACCCATATAATGGTTAACAAAGAACTATCGTCACATCTGTGACTCCCATGTCATGTTCATGACGCACTTATGGGGCTGGCTACATCGTACCTTTCTCGATTGTGCTGCTCAAGCCAAACTAAGCCCTTGGGTTTTGCTCCATCAAGAGTCAAGCATACAACTTGTTCCACTTCCTCGGTGCGGTCGAACAGCATGGCCAGGTGCACCAGATGCATGGATCAGCCATTCCTCCTTTTTGGTCGGAGCACCGTGCAAACCCAATCTCAGCTAAGCTGAGCGAGCAGTGCTCGGGGTCCAAGCTGTTTTCAATTGTACAAGGCGATGTGGGATTTCCGGCTGGCCGGCACCCTGCAAAGCCCCAAAGCAGAAATGCACCAGCCCCAGCACCATAACAGCACCCTTCTTGCCCCTAAACTCCCAACCTAAGGCTTGAAGTAAACCCTAAACATTGTCACCGTACCGATACCCTAAACCCGGCCGAAAACCCTAAACCCTGCTCACGCTCCAAACTCTTGAAACTGCCTCTGGAATTTGCCCTCCGGCTCAACAGCCTCGCTGACTTTTGCCAGTTTGACCAGAGTCTGACACATGGGGCCTAGGTTCAGGGTGAACTAGACCTATATAAACATAAATACATACATGCGTACATACATACATACATACATACTTGCACATGTACCTTCTCACATGTAGTGCGTACCTACCTACAGACAGACCGACACAGAAACAGATAGACCTACGTACGTACATACATTACATAATGCGTATGTGTGTGCTTCATGCAGAAGTTTAAAGTTGCCATGGAGCTAGTTTTGGTACGTAGTTCAATTCCGCATCCCTGTCTTGCGGTGTCCTGGGAAGATGATGCTTCAACAATGTTCTGAGGGCAGCTGCACCGACTAATTCTTCTAAACTTCTCCGACCAAACCCCGAATAACAGCTTCATCTGCAAGAGCAAGATGAAATGCCTAGAACAGCATCTGACTGGAAGTCCTAAAGCAACCACAAGAAAGCATATCTCGACAGGCTTCGGCTTAACCTGGTTGTTTGTTTACGCATCTTAGTTCGGGTTTAGGGTTTAGTCAGTCCCTGTCCCCAGCCGAAGCCATCAGTCGGCATTGTCCACAAGCACTGCCGAGTGCCTTGAGATGGGCCGGGGTGCTAGCCCCGTACTGCGGTTGGGGATTTGGGATACTCAAGTTCGGGTTAGCAGTAGCAGCAGCAGTAGCAGCAGTAGCAGTAGCAGTAGCAGTAGTGGCAGTAGCACCAGCAGCAGTCGTGGTCGTCGTCGTAGTACTAGTAGTAGTGATAATCGTGGTAGTCGAAGATAGTCGTAGGCAGTGGGCCTTGGGCAGGAGGTAGAAAACAGTAGGTAATTGGTAGAAGATAGTAGGTGTGGGTACAACAAGGACAGGAGTTCATAGCTAGTAGCTAGTAGTTAGTTGTCAGCAGCTGCCGCAGCAGCAGTAGTAGCCGCAGCAACAATAGCACCGGTTGTGCTACCGGCAGTAGCGAGGTGCAGTAGCGGGTGGAAGTCATACAGGGGGACAAGAACAAATCGAACGATCAGAATGACAGCGAAGACATTAGAAGCACTGCGAGCTGTAGATAAGACCTGTCGTATGTCAGCATCAACCTGAGTCTCGGACCAACGGCTGGGTATTTCAGATCCCAAGCCCAATGGGGTCGAAGCCTGGAAGCTCCAGCCATTAAAGCAGTCTGGGCATCACTGCACTGCAGGGTTCGGGCTTAGGCCCATAAGCCCTGGTGCCCCACGCCCGCTTGATTAACAAATCCTCCGTGGTGTAAGGCACAACATCGCTGGCCTCATCGGATCCCATAGAGTGAACCGACTCCTTGGGCAATGCAGAGTCGACCGGAGTGGAAGAAATGCTGATATCATGACAATCAGAACCGGCGCATCGTGTGTACTGCGATCTGCAAGTCGCGTCGAGGGAATCATGATGTTGCTAGGTGTGTGAGTGCGTGTATACATCTACATCTGCCAAACAATCATGATACTGAAACTACAAAACCTCAACCCTCGGCCCTACTACAGTATTGTTACTCGTCAATTCCTGTCAACGCTGAGATTTCGGCAGATGGTGGGAGCGACGAAATCTGCCGGATGTGTTCCACGATTTGTGAAATTCGGCCCAGCTGACCTCCCATGCAGTCGGCAAGAATACAAATACATGGCACGGTCGAGATGGGAAGAACCGAAGGAAGTACTTCGCAACGACAATAAAATGTGCTCAAGTGCAGGACTCCGCAACACTCTTCATATGGGAGTTTCCGAAAATTAGGGGTACCTTATTTTGGGGCCTTATAATAAGGATCCTGCTATTTAGGGTACTATACTAGGGTCCCCTATTTTCGGAAACCCCCCTATGTATAACAGTATAACACTCCCCGCTGGGGAGTAAACAGCACCAGACTGCATATGCACAAATATAACGCAACAAAAAGATGCCTATTATCTACAGTATATGCATCCAAGCCCAGGCTTCCAG